AGAACAATTACGTTTCTTTAAACGATAATCTTGATTGCCTAAGAAGTAAATCTGAAATACTTCTGAACTCTTATATATTGTAATAAAACTTTCTGACTAACATGTAATACTGAATTAAATAGAAACGCATTTCTTTCAATATTTCAAAATTGCACTATTAAATCATATATCAAAATATTTACTCAAGCCGACAAAAATAGGATTTTGATATACGTGCATATGTCCGATTTTATTAGCTTCGTAATAACAAACTGTTTGACTGTCTCATTACTCTAGTAGTCGTAAATGCGATTGCAGATCGTGAGGTCCCGGGTTCAAGTGCCGGGTCGAGCCAAAATCAGTTGACTTTTTTTTTAGATTTTCTGTCAAGAATTTCTCGGTACCATCTCGCAGCCTTGAAATTGGCGGTGTTACACCCCCGTGCTTTGGAAAGCACGTAACGCAAAACTTGATACTGTCATCTTTAACCCAAGGGGATTAGAGATAACAAGATATGGTAATCACGGCAAATTCTTCATACAGTGAGAGAAGCCCATTTTCACCAGTGGATTGTTACAAGCTGGAAAAGTGAAGTTATATGGATGGATGCTGGTGGCTCTGTACAGTACTTTGTAGAAATATTGTTATAATTATTTTTTTCAAACAGGAGTGACAAACAAACTAACAGTTACGTGGTAGTAAGTGGGTACTGCACTCCGTGGAGACCTGCAGCCGAAGACAGCCGAGACAAAGTAGGCTCCAGATTCGTTGTCACTTCTGAGGACTAACATGATTACCCAGGGTATTTACTAAGCCGGGCTTCTAGCCAGAAAAGTAGTCGTACCACATAAATAAATAAATTGATGAAAATAAGGCAAAAAAAACAACAATGGTTTATTTCTTGGGTTATTTCGAATTTTAGGGTTGAACCGGAATGTTTCCCTTAGGTTATTACATTTGAAATTAATATTTTTATTTGAATATGTAAGTATTTATTCTTAGATAGCTCAGTCGTTTGTCCTCGAAAGCCTCAAGATAAACACGTTACACTAGTGGGCGCGACAGGCGCCCGTATTTCAGCCCGTACTTCAACTTTCACAACTCCTCACTTTTATGGTAATATGGTGCAGTTTTTGACAGGTTTTCTAAAAATCCATCATGTTGTTTCATGTTGATTTACAATTACAATTACAATACTCTTTATTGTACACCAACAAAACATAAATATAACAAATAATGAACAATCAATGAGGGAAAAACAAAAGGCGGTCTTATTGCTACATAGCAATCTCATCCAGACAACCCAGAAGAGGAAATTAATAAAAATAAAAATAAGATTAACGGGTAGGGTGCACTAAATCAGACAAAAAAATACAACTTATATACTATAAAATGACAACATACGAGTACTTAAGGTATATTAGTGACCATAACTAAGAGGAGGAAGAGAGAGGAGATAAAGAGACAAATAGTGTTCCTTAATTTATTTCTTGAACACATTTAATGATTGAGCACTTTTAATGGACTGGGGTAAGGAGTTCCAGGGTCTTACGCCAAGAACAGCAAAAGATTTATCATAAAATGTCGAGAAGTGTATAGAACATTGGAGCGGAAAGGTTTTCTTTGGACCGTAAGGAAAAATCGTGACAAGAGCTAAGAAATTTAAAACGTTTTTAATAAAAATTAAAACAGAGATAAAATTTAAATACCGACTTATTAAACTCCAAAGAATAAAATATTTTCCACATACCTAATAGCTTTTGAAATCTGTGCCAAGACATAATGTATCGAAGACTTAAAGACCGGACTGAGGAACTATCATGTGGATGTTTTATTGTTTTTAAGTTTTTGAAGTACGTTTTTTAATTTGTATTAAAAAGTTAGAACACTCCCTTTTATAGAATATCACCCATATTACATAAGCGAAGACACAGTTCACCTATTCTAAGTGTGTACTGTGGCCCATAATCCTCTACGTACTATCTTCGTTTAAAAATCAAAATGTAGATGCGTTGTCACCCCAAAGGACTAAGATGGAATTTCTCTCTTTCACTAAAATGGGTTTACTTTTCTCTACAATTCATCATACAAAACACAGCAATAATAAGCTATTATTTTACGCTGATATTCTGAGAGTGTGGTCCCCACCCATCTCCTCCCTTGTTTTCCTCTGTCGCCTTCAAGGTCACCTTTGGGACGATATAGAGTAGTGGATATTCTTACACCGCTACTAGACGGTTACGCAATGAACTCTAAAAGACGAGATATCGAGCCGTTAAATCGTTCGGGCATTTCCCACGAGACAAAGTAAGCGAGATTTCTCTTACACCATCAGACGGCAGTCACAAAGTACGTATCTAAATCAATTTTTAGATAGCCCGTCGCCCGCTTTAACCAACAAATTAGGTTGCGTTTCTACGATTTCAGCTTTGACGCTCGTTTTGATTGTACGGTCACGATAACTGCCGTATACACCTTGCCAAGGTTAAACAAATAACATACTTGCCTTTTTACTATTTGTGTAATCTTTTTAGTACACATTCATGCCAATGCCATCGCAATGTATCCAAGCACCTAAAAATTGGGAACAGCAAAAAGAAAGAAAGAAGAAAAACATTTATTTGACGAACACACAACATTAAGAAACATAGAAATTAGTATTACAAATTGGTTGTAGCTCGAATGGGTCGGCCTAACTGGGGTAGGACCTTGCTCTCCATATATATTAGGCTCTCTGGAACACCGTTTTCAAATCATTTTACTCTATTTATTTCTTTGAATTTGTTGTTGTTTTTTTTTTTATAGAAGAGGGGGCAAACGAGCATGTGGCTCACCTGATGTTAAGTGACTGTCGCCGCCCATGATCAACCGCAACACCAGGGGAATTGCAGGTGCGTTGCCGGCCCTTTAGAAAGGAGTAAGCTCTTTTCTTGAAGGTCCCCAGGTCGTATCGGTCCGGAAAAATCGCCGGTGGTAAATTATTCCACAGAGAGGTTGTACGCGGAAGAAAACTCCTTTTGAAACGTACAATGGTGGACCGCCAAGCATCCAGATGGTGTGGATGGTATCGGGACGTTTGCCGTGTAGTGCGTTCACGAAATTTGGCGGCTGGGATTAATCCGAACAATTCCTCAGAGCACTCCCCGTGATAGATGCGATAAAATACGCAAAGAGATGCAACATCTCTTCGCAGTGCCAGTGAATCGAGCCGATCGGAAAGCACTCGGTCGTCGACGATTCGAGCCGCTCTGCGCTGGATGCGGTCAAGTGGAAGGAGCTGGTACTGGGGAGCCCCAGCCCAGAGATGGGAACAGTATTCCATGAGCGGCCGAACCTGCGCCTTGTAAAGTTGCAGGCGGTGTGCCGGCATGAAATACTGTCCCGCTCTGCTGAGCACGCCAAGCTTTTTAGAGGCCAATTTGGCCTTCCCTTCCAAGTGACCACGAAACTGCACGTCACTCGATATGTCGACGCCGAGGATTCCGATACTGGCTGAGGCAACAAGGGGAGTGCCTTGAAACTGAGGGGATACGACAAAGGGGTTCTTTTTAGCGGTTAACGCGCAAACTTGTGTCTTCTGGGGGTTAAACTGGACTAGATTTAGTCGCCCCCAATCCGAGACTCTGTCCAGCAGAGACTCGACTTCAGACACAACCGGCACTCTGAGCCAATGCCTCCCCCTTGGCTCTACTGCCTCCGCCCATCTGTGAGTTAGGTAGACCAGAAGATCACCAGCTGACCTACCACGGCGAAAACCGTATTGGCGGTCACTAATCAGCTGGTGATCCTCAAGGTACCTCATGAGCTGGCAGTTTACAATGGACTCCATTGTTTTGGAGAACAAGGAGGTGATGGCGATAGGCCGGTAGTTGGACGGGTCTGAGCGGTCGCCTTTTTTAGGGATCGGGTGGACGAAAGCCGTCTTCCATGATTTTGGGACTACGCCTAGGGAGTAGGAGTACCGGAAAAGACGCGTTAAAACCGGTGCCAACTCTGGAGCACACGTCCTCAGCACAATTGGGGGGATTCCGTCAGGCCCACTCGACTTGTGGATGTCCAGGGAGAGGAGTGCTTTGCGAACCGAGCGCTGAGTGAACTGCACTTCCGGCATGGAGCACTCACACCGCGGGATGGTCGGCGGCGTACTCCCCCCGTCATCGAGAGTCGAGTTAGACGCAAAGAAAGAGCCTAGAAGATCGGCTTTCTCCTTTGCGGTGTGGGCCAGTAAGTCGTCCTCCCTGTGCAGAGATGGAAGAGATGGCTGACAGAAATTCCCCTGGACAGCCTTGGCGAGAGACCAGAATGCACGAGTTCCAGAAGGAAGACGAACTAGTCTCTCGCCAATTCTGCCTATGTGCTCTGACTTTGCCTTGGCAATGACTCTTTTGAAGGACCTAGAGGCGGAATTATACTTCTTTTTTAGAGCGCTGGTGTTTACATCCCTGGACGCTGATGCGTCAGCCCAGGCTCGGTAGCACTCCTGCTTATAGCATGATGCTATTTTACAGGAGCGACCAAACCATGGCTGAGATTAGAATGTTGTTTCAAGTTAAAAGGGTCTCAGGTTCTTTAGACACTTTCAAATACCAATTATTGTCAACGTTACGTCTTTATGAGTTGAAGTCATTTCTTTAAGCGCTGTAGTTGGACTAACAGTAGCAAATATAAATTTAATAATAAAAAAGCTGCACCACCAGCCCATTTGTTGCAGCATATAACAATAGATGATATTTAGGATGAAGTATCACTGTATTCAATAGATGCTTTTTATAGTTAGTTCCAACCAGAAAGAAACATTTCCTCACTAGGATTTTCTCCTGTATCGTGGAGGCAGTTTATATACATAGATTGCTCACGGAGAAACATTCAGAAATGGAAAGTATGGAAAGTTATGTGTAGGTCATAGAAATACTTGTTCCCCTGCGGGATTCAAACCCGCGGCCCTCAGCGCCGGAACTCAATGCTAAGCCACTGCGCCATCGGGTTGTCAAAACTAACGTTAGTGTTTATTTATTTTGCAGCTTCTCCAAAACTTGGGCAAGGTGGACCGCACACTAGACGACATATTTGAAGAGCACCTGCAGAACTTTAACCGGCAACACCAGCAGGCCACCCGCTTACAGAAAGAGTTCAACAACTACATCAGATGTATACGAGGTGAGCGCGATGAACCGATCACAGAAAATCGATTTTACTAAAATTACGATTACGATTACGATTTTGCTTAAATTATTGAGAATTTTATACGTAGAAGAGTCATGCTGCTGCTTTATTATAATAATTGTAGTACGAATGGCTCGGCTCGTTTGGAGAGAGGACCTCGCTCTCACAGAGTACCAGCGTAAAATAGCAGCTCATTGCTGATGTGCATGATGAGAGTAGAGAATCGGAGACCCTTTTACTGGATACGAGGCATTCCATCTTAGTCCTCAAAAGTGACAACGCATCTGCATTTTAGTTATTAATCAAGGCTAGATTTACATGTCTATAGGGCACAGCATGCACTTGTCATCAGGTGAACAGTGTTTACTTGTCGCGCTTATTTTATAAAAGAAACTGACGCAAGTGCACGATGTTTGAAAAAGAACATGCAGTAACATTTTGAATAATCTACTTTTCCTGATTTTATCATCAAACTTAGTCTGTATCTTATTCAATACAAAGCATAGGTTTCTATCGTGGAAATTTATCATAGAAGCTACGTTAAGGAAGAGGATTACAATCATAGTACCAAATGCAAAACTCTGGTGGTAATGACTGCGCAGCTGCGATATGTTTTCCATTATCATAACATCAAAAGCAAACGTCAAAAATTCTAAATGAAGTCAACCACGATTAGTTACATATTCACACTTCTGGATCTAAAAGTTGTAACAATTTTGACATTGTTATTAAAACGTCGACGAAGTTTTTCAACCTTCAAAGTAAGAATAAGAATAATAGATTTGCTTACACCGCCATCACATAACACCGTCTTCCGAAATTACTATTATTATCATCATTATCATCATCACCTTCCCAAGTCAACTGCCGAAAACATAGTCTTTACCCAAAGACACGGTTCTGAATCATCAGCAGCCATCGTCTTCCTGGATGTCTTACTAGGATGCTCTTATCTAATGGAGGACCGTCCTACACTTTACTTACCGGTACGAGGCAGCCATTCGAGAACTTTTCTTTCCCTTTAAGGTTGTCGGTTCTTCGATATTATGGCCGGCCCATTATTACTTGAGCTTATTAAATCGGTTCTACTAGTTCTATCTTTATTACAAATTCAATGCTAAAATTCAATAAAAAACAGAGCTATAAATATAAGTAGGTGTATGACAATAAAAATAATACGACCATAATAATACAAAAACTAACGTTGGTACTTAATTATAGAGAACTTTATTATATAACATTTGGAAGATAAATTTAGGATGACCACTTTACTCGAATGTCAATGAAAAAATTATAATTTATTTTTAATTCTAACGTTTATGTTAACGGTGCGCGATGCCGGCAATCCGGCATGTGGTCGAATCATGTTATAAAAACAAGATATTGCAATTATAATTTTATTATGTTTTGATTTCTTGCAAGCACCGGTATTTAAATTCACGAATTATATAGTATTTATTTCGTTGTGGTTGAAAAGTGTAAGAAAAAATTGTATTTGCTCTTGCAAAAGAAACGGGCACCTAAGCAAAGAATTTTATTGTTACTATTAGATTGTTTGATAATTTTAGGCATTCTTATAGTCAGAATTTTGTAAATTAAACTGCAAGGAATAGTTTTCGTCAGTTTTATCATACTATTTTAATTAAATTAATGAGAAATCATGTAAAAGTTCAAAGCGGAATGAAACACGTTTTACGTATCTTCTTTTAATAAAGTAAAAGATGATAAAATTTTAGTATGGAGTGTTTTGCCCCCTTTACCTTTACCCCCTTTTGCTGAAATCACAACTTGCATTCGTCTGGGCATACTAGCGAGTATATTTCTATTTCTTATGATTTTTTACGAAATACGTTCCTACTCCACGGTAACCATCTTTTTTAGTTCTCTGATGATCTGCGGAACCGGATGAACTGATCTCACTCGTCGCATCAGAACGTCCCTGACATGCTCTATGGGATCTAGATCGGAACTTCAATCTGGCCAATCCAAACGATGAATTCCGACCTCTAGCATATACGCTTAAACATCGCCAGACCGGTAGGCGCGAGCGTTATCGTCCTTAAAAATTGAGTTTTTCCAAGAGCGGTCAATGCGGGTTGTACATAAGGAGTTAGAACTTCGTTCATAAGGAATTAGAACTTTATGCATCGGTGTCCAGTCAGTGTGCCTTTTTCGATGAAGACTAACACCGTACGATTAACGGATATATTCCTGCCCATAACATAACAGAGGCCCCACCATAAGGTGTGATTTCTTTAAAACATGCCTCGTTAAGCGTTTTCCTAGTCTTGGTAACACTCGCCGACGTCAGTCTTCACTGTAGAGAGATATCCTGGCTTTATCGGAGAACAATACCCTATCCCAGTCTCTTTGAGTCCATGACACACAATTTCGAGCGAAGCTAAGCCAGGCAACTCGGTGCTATTTAGGGCCACGGGCTGGGCGATGACTGCATATATTGGTAGCGAGAAGCCTCCTCCTAACAGTCCATAGAATAATTTGCACATTTCTTACTTCTTTGAGGTTTTTTGACGGTACTGTAACCCTCCTTAAGCAGTGCAATAATTTTGCTGGTTTTATCACTTTATCTACCACATTCTAGACTGCTAAATAGCAATAACAATACTTTAAAATGTCAAGCAAATGAGAGAAGTTATTTAGAGTCGATATTAACTTTCGGGATTTCGCCCTACAGGAGTAGTAAAAAGTTTATTTTCTTTAAAAACGAGCCTCAGACAAAATTTTGAAACTTACTTTTTTAAACACTACGGCAATTTTATAACCGGCCAGTAACATGTTCAAATGATTAAAACCTTTTTCGTAGTGTATATTTTTCGGAAAGGAAAAAAAAATCAAAACAGCTCGTTATGTTTTTGCAATTGATTGTAGTTATAATCATGGTTTAAAATATCCACTATTATTATGACGTGGCAACAGGTAAACGAGATGATTATACCGCAGTCTATCAGAAACCAAAAGATCTTTGCAGCACGGGACTAAATGGAGTGATGAATAATACTAAGCCGCCATAACAAGAGATTAACAATCTGTCCTGTACCCTGTCTGCGAAATACTCGAATAGATCACACTGAATGTTCTGCGCTCCTGGCCGCTCATAAATGTTTGAGTTTCGAATGTTATATTTTTTAAATTATAAGAAACTCATAAATCGATTAAAATATTGTTTGGCTGGAAGACGCACAAGTTGAAGTTCATCAACCGTAGGATAAATAGATGTGATAAGAGGATTTACATTTACGGAGTCAGAAGTGGCCGTAATAGCTTTTAACCAGCACCTGCACATATATTTTTATTTAATGTTTTCTGAGGGGTCGAGGTGTCCATTGCTTAGCGGACAGCCTGTATAACGTTTATTTATTTTAGATTCTTTTCTTTTCCTGTTAATGGGTAGACTGGTAGAGAATTAATTTAGGCACCCAGACCGCCCTTTGGATGCTTTTTTCTAGGGAAGATTTAAAAAAAATCACTATTTAAAACTTCATGTTGCATTTACACACCAATGAACAAAAAATATAAAATATAACGATAATCGATTGTACGTAATTATAAATGCGTTTATTATGCGTGTAAAAGATATATGCGTTTTCTCATTTCTAGTTTTAGTTACCGCCCACCCTCCCACTCCTCTTGTTACCATTTTGTTCCTAAAAACTATATCTGCGCAATTACTCGCGACTAACTTCAGCCCTAAGACTAAGATAGAATGCGCAGACTTTACGAAAGGGTTAAGATGAAGATATTTTAGCGAGTAGTGGCGGTGTAAGAATATCTACTATTCCATATCATCCCGTGGATGTCGTAAGAGGCGACTGAGAGAAACGAATCAGGAGATGGGCAGCGGTTACATAACGGCTAAAAATAAAAATAAACTGCGGTTGTCAACTCGCTTATCTAGCGTGGTAACTATGGCAAACATCCCCTTATGAGGCAATCTATGGGCCTCCTCATGTTCAGCTGTGGACTTTAATAGGGTGTAACGGTAACGTAAAAATGTAAAGGAAAGGAAAGTTCTAGATTGCAGCAAATCGTTTCTTTTTTTATTTCCAGCTGTACAAACAGCATCAAAGACCCTGATGGAGGCGATAACGGAAGTATACGAGAGTAGTTGGTCCGGCCACGACCTACTGTATGTGCAGGCGCAGAACATGGAGATGCTATGGCAGGACTTCTCGCACAAGCTCGGCGATCAAGTGCTCATACCTCTTAACACATACACGAACCAGTTCCCGGAAGTTAGGGTGAGTCGGAACTGATTTGATTTATTTTATACTATTTTAGCAAGCTGAAAAATCTAATGTATTTCGATAGAGGGTGGTGTAACTATTTCGTGTATGCCAGACGTAAAATGCCCGGTAAAATGTCATAATTCTGCCTACAAATCCACCTTACAACGGGAGAGGTCCATGACCCTTTGAACGATGTGATTTACCATATGCTCGACGGTAAATAAAACGTGCATATCTGAGAAGAAATGTTTCAAAGACATGTGAAATCCGCCAACAACTAGAGCACCGAAGCTGTCATATTATTGCTCTATATACCCCCCCCCCCGCGAAATGAGATGTGACCTGTGCTTAGCTGTGAAACATTGATCTTTTACTTCTCTTCACTAAATTAATACACAATATCTAAAATTTTAGGGAGGTTTCTCAGGGTTACATTTTAGGTCCGTTGTATATAGGCTTCCCAGATCGGAAGATAAAAATATCTGTACAAATTTTGAAAAAAATTAATAGGCCACAAAAATTACTTTAAAAAAAACTAATTTAAGTACATGATTAAAACTACTTTTACGGATTTTATCGCGTTTATTTTTGCTTTTAATTACTTTTATTTTTAATTCCCGACGTTTCGGGCGCTTTCCAGCAAGTCTGCAATTTGTGATCATATCCTAGACGGCCCCAACCATTACATCAGATTTGATAGACCACAAATCCTCGCGAAAGAACACCGATTCCTACCAAGGATGATAGGTGAGGCTATTGAAATTAAAAAACATCCTAATTTCAATAGAGAAGGAGGTGGGTATTACCACCTGCTTGGGATCCTATAATCAATAAAATTAAAACTAAACCCAAGCATACCACTGCAAGACCTCAGGACATAGTCAGTTCATTTTGCATAGATCGGACCATAAACAATAATTAAAAAAGCTGAAGGTACTCCGGGGTTAACAATGACATCGGGACGTCAGTCATCTCAGTCCCCCGTGACCATGGGTGCTGGAAAGCGCCCGAAACGTCGGGAATTAAAAATAAAAGAAATTAAAAGTAAAAATAAACGCGATAAAATCCGTAAAAGTAGTTTTAATCATGTGTAGTGTTCGCGTAAATATAAGGAATCATTAATTTAAGTACACTTAATTTAAGGTTGTCGCATGTATTTGGCATTGAGACTTCACTAGAGTCCACCAATTTGGATCCTTTCGTAGCATAGAAATATAAAATACAGTAGTACTTCTTTATTATATCTATGTTTCATATAAAAAATATATATAAGAAAATATTCAAAATTCAAAGAATTTACTTCTAATTTCAGTCTAATTACTAACTCAACTTTTATTGAATCAAAGGCTAAACGTTAACTTTCGAGGAACTGTTTGTCTGGAGATTTTGAGTATTTTCGGGAGTCTGGAGATTATTTAAAATGTCGGGAAAATCCAGACAAATCCCGACCATCTGGCAACCCTAGTTGTTTATAATATATTCAAATTATATTTTGTTTTAATATTTATTTAAGTATTATTTAAATTTGTATTTATTTAAGTATTATTTAAATTTGTATTTATTTCATACTAGCAAACGCAAAAAGGTAAAACTCTAAAGAGAATCTTTTAAATTCAAAGATTTTTCAAAGACTTTTTATTAATTTACCTGTACTTTATATTTCGTTGAGTTACCAGATAGTATAAATCCTGTGAATAAATCATTAAACAGCGTGCTTTTATCGCGTCGGTATTTATGACATAAAAATGTTTGGGAAAAATCTAATAAACAAAGCATGACTACTCAGTTTGGCCTGGAAACAATTTATAAGCGATGTATTCCATATTATTTAATTTACAATGTGTGTTTACAATTATGTTCATATTTCAGAAAAAGATCGAGAAACGCGGTCGTAAGTTGGTTGACTACGACGGACAGAGGCACAGCTTCCAGAATTTACAGGCCAACGCTGCGAAGAGAAGGGACGACGTTAAGGTAAACGAATGTTCGATACTACTTCTGTAACAAATTATCAAGTGATTCAAACTTCGTCGTAAACATTATATGTAAATAGATTTTTAAAAGAAAGTCTGCAACTGTGAGAAATTAAATATATTTTGAGGACATCTAGATCCTATCAGTTTTTCTGTTCTAAAAGAAAATGAGATTTGGCTTGTGGTCAGAAAGTTTATTTTGAACGGTTTAGTTCGTACAGTTTACTTCGAAATATAAATATATATAACTACATTACATCATCTCTCTGTGTTCTGCACTTTCTTTAATATCAAGAATTAACGTCGTTAAGCGACAGTAGCCTAATGGCAGGGCGCGGAACACGAACTCAAAAGGTCGTGGGTTCGAATCCGCCATTCTACTACTGGCGTGAACCACTCGTAACACAAGCAATTTAAGCTTACCACGAGTGGTTAAGGGTAATATTAGTAGTGTTTACAGCATTGTTAATATTATTTTTTATATAAAAAAAAAGAATAAACACAACAGTTCAGTTACAATATGCGTAGCGTCTGGTGCAAGTCTCTTTGCATTCAATAAGTTCCAATGTGCCTATCAAGCTTATGATTACGGCGATTTCTCCATATTCGAGTTAAGAGAAAATCTTAGCTAAGAGTTTAAACTCAAAAATCACAATTTGTATAATCTGATATAGTCTAGTCAGTTTAATGCTGCTGTATTTCGTGTGGTGATTGTCGAGAACCGGAGACCCCCTTTACTGGGACGGGAGCGAGGTATTCCATCTAAGTTGTCAGGGTGACAACGCATCTGCATTATGATTCTTAATTGACAATAAATGTAGATTGTCTATGGGCCACAGCATCCACTTACCATCAGGTGGACTGTGTGCTCGATTTCACCCATATTAAAAAAAAACTATTTCAATAGAATATCTAATTCTCACCGATAAGTTACCAGGAGTCCATAATCATCGACTGGTGTGTTTCCACGTCAGTGCGTTGTTGTAAAGCGAACGCGCGGTTCTTATGCCCAGTATTTCAGTAGCATTGCAGTTCAGTGTTTGATTCCAGTGCTGGAAAGCCACCATTTACCTTATATTATTATATATAAAAAATTGCCTCTGAACACCTATCTAAATGTGAGTGGGTGGGCCACAGGTGACGAAGGGTCGCGAGCAGCTGGAGGAGGCTAAGCGCACGTACGAGATGCTAAACTCGGAGCTGCACGACGAGCTGCCCGCACTCTTTGACTCGCGCGTGCTCTTCTACGTCAACAACCTGCAGACTTTGTTCTCCGCTGAGCAGCTGTTCCATGCTGAGACCGCGAAGGTACGTCCGCTCTTGCTTTGACGTAATAATATATTTAACGATCAAGGTTCCTTAAGGGTACACAAGTCGCTCATTCTTCCATACAAATGTAGTCTGGCGATTACTCCACTGTTTGATGGTGTACGTTCAAAATAAAAAATGATTTCAATTTGTCTCATCATTATCTAGCCCCCTGTATGGAAACGAAAAGTAAAAAAGAATATATTTAAAAGTACTAATTTTAACAAATCTTTGGGCGGAAATAAATACCATAAGAATAACGAAAATTGCAAAACAGTACCGTACAGGGATAGATTAGGTGTTCAAAAGTGCAAATAATTTTATTTTGAACAGATACATTCAATAGATTTTTCATGATATCCAGATTCCTAAAGGACTTTTTATAACATTTCGTGCGCTAGTTTTGTTGTAAATCATCATGACTTTCGCTTTCGCACGTGATTTCGGCTGAGATAGCATGCATTTTAACCCCGCCCACCACTTAGTTCTTGCCATCAACTAGGGCCACCTTAAGCTAACATGAGCGGTAATAATTTTTTTAAGGTTTTACAAGAAAACAGCAGAGGGCATGCTATTATGCTATAACTTTATATGCTTGTGTGCATTTACATTTTACAAATTTGCACTTTATCTTAACATACAATACAATAAATTTATTTCAGGCATCAAAGGTCGAAGGTAGGGGTTCGGTGACGAAGCTTATTTTGTGATTGCAGGTGTACGCGGAGCTGGAGGCGATCACGGACAAGCTGGCCACGGACAGCCAGCGCGGCTCCTACAGGAAGCCGCAGGCGCACAACGGCAACGCCAACACGCACAACAACGTGCAACGTGAGTACACAGCTCAGTACACCATCTACCACGAATTGCAATCTGCCATTTTTTATCTTGTCCCAATACGGAATTTACACCTACGTATATATAATTGGTTAATACTGATATATACCGTCATAGTGTTTAGCAACAATTGACCCTGCTCCTGAAAAAAACCCTGAAAACACGACATTACATACCTTTAGGTTTTGTGCATAGTTTTCTGTGCATTAGTTTTTTTATTACATTATAATAAATTGTTTGAAAAGCTCGTTTTTACTTATCCATATTCAGTGAATTAAATAAATTTTGTGCGTAATCGACCTCAGCTATTATTGTTAAAATGTAGCCTAGTGAGGTGGAATCATTTACTATTTCACAAATAAACCACAAATATAAACCTGTAAATAATAACAGTTTTCATGTTTTATTCATAAAAGCGTGATTAATAGTTTACACAATGGTCTTTCGAGCCGGATATACTAATGAAATATTTTTTTTAATTTAAAAACTTACATGTATTTTTTTTAAAATGCTTAAGCTAAAGGGTACATAGGGCGGACTTTGCAGGTGCGACCATTATACATTAATAAGTGCACATACATTAAAATATACACACATATAGTATAAATATACGTACAATAATACATACATATATATATATATATATATATATATAACATATATACATGCTATATGTAATATATAACATATATTACATATAGCATGTGCATAGTGATACTCTACGCGTTAATATATGTAATATATTACAAATTATTATTCAGTTCACAAAAATACCTTCCTATTTCATATTTTTCGGTAACTGAAATCATTTACCCAAATTAAAAATGGCAGATTGGAATTTCCTACCCCGCCACAAGTCGGAACGTTACAGAATGTAGTTACGCTTTCCTAATGATTTTTATTAAAATGACTAAATTTAACTGCAACTGGCTGCAACGAATTTGTTCTACTACGAATTAGTTACTACCATTTGTAGGTTTTCTTTGGATTTCATACTTATCAAGTGTAATTTGTCGTATGTGTAACTCTGCAAAGGTAGTAATTAAATGTGATGTTTATACAAGTTGTCAAATCAATGTAACCACTATATGGGGTTATTATTACATTTTATTTTTAGTAGTATATTAATTAAGTTTTCATATTGGTTATAATGGATTTGTCAACTTTAACCTTAGGCAGTGCATACTTGCAGAATACGTTTTGGAAATCTGAAATTCTTATTTTCAATTTGGTAGTTGTTCGGTTTCGCAGTGATTTCATTTAACACCTTTGTAAGTTGTTAATAAATAAAGTTATAAATAAATTTTAGGATTTTCGGTAGATTTTTTTTGAAAAAAAGGGATGTCTATCAGATTAGACATTAACATGAGACCCTTTTTACTGAAAATAAGGCATTTCATTTTAGTTCTAAGGATGACAACGCACCTTCATTTTGATTTTTAATCGAGGATAAATGTAGATGTCTATAAGTGATGGTACCATTTAGCATCAGGTGGACTGTATGCTTATTTCCCATGTTAATCTGTAAAAAGATATTCTTTCTGTACCGTGCGTTAACAGCCGTGAGACAAATTCCTCTGCTACAAAGCTTAATTGATAAAAACATAAAACAGAAAGAAATATACTGTAGCCAATAAAACGATCTCCAAGAACGCATTGTCTAAGTGTAAGCGTGTGTGCGTTGCGTCGGCATGCGTGTGAGTGTGTGTGTGTGTGCGTAGCGACAGACGCGGCGCCCGCGCTGCCCTCGTCCCCCGCGCCCCCCGCGCGCGGTTCGCCCCCCGCGCCCCCCTCGCCAGCGCTCAACGGAGACGGGCGGGCGGGCAGCGCGTCGCCGCTCGGGCGCGCCGACTCGCCGGTCGACGTGCCCGACTCCCCCTCTGACTCCGCCCCCGCTACGCCCGCGCGCTCGCCCAACAACAACGTGGAAGCCAAGTCGCCGCAACACGGCACACCAGTCGGTGAGTATCCACTTCTGGTCCACTTCGGTCGCCGATTAAGGTATTCTGTTAAAATAGTTTTTGAAATACTAAATACTTATGTCATCCTGGTACAAATAGTACACTGCAAAACGGTAAGTGTAATATCAGCCCCCCCCCCCCCTCCCTTGGCTCCCGCGACGCCAATTCACTGGCCCAACAACAAAACGACCGACGCGGAAGCTACAAGTATATGTAGGTAACAAAAGGTATCCCGTTAAAATAGTTTTAGTTAGACTGGGTAATTAATCTCCTGCTACAAATAGTATAGTGATCAATCTATATGTGTGATGCCATCAAAAACATAATTTGTAAAAAGAATCAAGTTTCGCAAATAAGTTCTTGTACCGTAAAAAGTTGTGAGATCCATGTAATACAAAGTCGGTTAATTTATTCAATCCCTACTTAAGGGTTCTTCTGTTTTAAGTTATTACGTAATTAGCTAACCTAACAACATCTTATAGTGACCATAACAATGTTAAAAATCTTTTATGTTTTAAATAAATAGATTGACTTGGCCATCGCATGAAAACACAATGTATCTCACAAGTAATTAGCGACGTAAAACTTGGCGGGGGCACTACCGTGCCTCCAGATATTATATAGTGAGCTAGTTGTTGAAAAAAAATGCATAATTTTAAAATAAATAATCGTTTGCTAACTTCGTGTTATTGAAGCCATACTATTTTTACCATTAGGCTTAATTTATCTAAAGTCAAATGTATTGATAACTCCAACAATTTACGCGGGGTCTTCTACTTTTAACGTCTCGCTACGTAAGTGCTCATGTTTAAATATCATATCATAGATCAAACAAACTTTTAATTGTAACTTGATCGGCCACGTGTATTTTAACTTTCTACATAATAAATTGAACCTGATTCCAACTCCTCCATAGCCTTAACCACCCATTTCTTATTGTTTTTTACACACACAATGACCGTCATCTACATAACTCAATGTCAATGTTGCCTTTGCTTAAATTTCTATCACAACGCCCGGAAGAAATAAATACGGTCTCAAAACTGTTTCCTGATGTAGACCTTATGTTATTGGTGTAGATTTACTATAGTTATTCTATTTCATGATAAAGGTTTGACTTTGGTTGTATTAGCCGTGCACATACACATTGCATTAGTGTGCGTAGGCCTCAGGAGCGCTCACACACACAAATGCGCCTATCTGTACACGTTACTACTACAATCGAAGCAAAACCTTCATCGTGAAATAGAATAACTATAATAAATGCTACAGAAATTATAATGTATGTCATTACCAGTTATAATAAATATTAGTTATCATAGTCACCTATGCTTCAGTAACACATATTATTTTTGCATTAAAACAATCGTAGAGTTTCCTGAATAACCCTGTCAAAAGCCTTTCCCAAAGCTAAAACACTGTGTTACAGATTTGTATTATTTGTTTTGTTTGGCAACAAAATATTCTGGTATTATTTGGCAACAAAATATTCTAAGCATTCCGTTTATAAAATATTTTTAAATATATAATTATACTGTCTTGATAGGTAAGTTGTCCTGATTATTTTTACTCAACACCAGACATTTCTTTCCATATAACATCAGTCGCTATAAAATGAAATTTTTATTATACAAAAATATTTGTGTGTCGATGCCTATTTATGTATTCCTAAAAGCTGGTTCCTCTCTCTCTCTCTTTCACTCTTCACAAAATAAAAGCAGAAAAAGGAATATATTGAGATAATAACACTTAATTTTTTTATTTAATTTTGATATTAGGACAGGAATGTCTGAAGAAGTATTTTTGTATTGTAATTTTTTGTAATAACAAAGCGCTTATTAAGTTTTTACCTGTATACTATACAGCATGATAGAACGTTGTTTGAGTATCGTATTTTTTAATGACGTAGCAGTAAGGTTCACATCGAAGCGCTAACCAACGGTAAATATAGTATAATATAGTTAATTTAGAATTTAGTCAACCAATTTGGATAGCTAGATTGTTTGAGTAGATGTAGGCAACGTATTGCTCAAAATTCTCAGGATCGCAGCCCTCGACCGAGAATATCAATAACAACATCGACGAAAAGAGTGAAACACAGCTAGAGAAAGAGAAGGAAAATGAGAAGGACAAAGAGAAAGAGAAGAAAGATGTAGAAAATCAGAACAAGAATGATGAAGTTTACGATGTACCCGTGGGTAAGTGAAAGCAGACAGGTCTTTAAACATTATCTTGTAATATTTTAACCTATTATTTACTAATAATGGAAGTAGTTATCACAGCGTTTTTACAATATCTGTTGAGCGCGCAAAACTGTCCGTTGTACACGTAAAAAATTAAAACTATAACTTCAATTGTATTTTATTTAGCTTTTACCAGTTTATTTCAATATTAAAATCTCAGTTCTACATTAGTTAAATAGGAGTCAACAGTTACAATTTAAAACTATAATTATGTCCCAAATATTAAACGAGAATTGAAATTGGTAAAGGTTTTATAGTTCGTAACGTCCTTGTTTCAAGACACATAATATTTTTAGTCATTCAAAAATGAATAGGTTTTCAGATTCGACTGTTTGATCTTCACCAATTTTTTCTGCTAAATAGGCGATACGTCAAAGGTTTTCCTTATAAATTTGAATACAAAACTCACTGCTAAGGTTGGAAAAATAGGATAATGAAAAAGTTTTTAATGTGATGTCATGTGTATAGTCCACTCAAGCTAGTAAAAAAATTCTCTCTTGATAAAAAAAGCTTCAAAAAAATAGGATAATGAAATTTTTTTAATGTGATGTCATGTGTATAGTCCACTCAAGCTAGTAAAAAAATTCTCTCTTGATAAAAAAAGCTTCAAAAAAAATATCTTATATTTACGCGAACACTACACATTGATTAAAACTACTTTTACGGATTTTATCGTTTATAATTTTAAATAATTTTTAATTTCCGACGTTTTTTTGGATGCTTTCCAGCACCCATGGTCACGGGAAACGAATATACGTCAGTAAAATTCGTAAAAGTAGTTTTAATCAGTTAAAAAAAACACTATAGATTTTGAAGTTTGAGGCTTCAATTCTTTGATACACTGTCTTAGCACTGATTGAGTAAATTGTAGTTATCTATTTAGTTTGTAGTTTGAGGACAATATCTTGATTAGTATATAATGCTTATTTCAGTATTTATTATGTTCTACATAATTAATAATTATTTTTTGTATATGTGTATGTGTATTTATTTTCAGGTGGACGCTTATTTATATGTTTATGCATACAATTGCTTCTGTAACTGTTTTGTTTGTTGTAAGCTTTATGTATCTTGCCCTAATAAACTAACATTTTTAGAGTTATAATTGTAATGAATTCTAAGTGTTGCATGACTGTTTTTTAAATAACTTTATTTTTTTATTCTCGTCTGTTAGTGATCGAATAGCGAATTGATTCTGAACGATTTGTTTAGGTGATGGTTCATACCACTGCTTATCAATAAATTCTATATCTATGGACCAAAGTGATTCATGTTCACAATGTATTTTGTTTTAGTACCAAAAAGAATCATAAAATCTAGACCATATAGGTGGCGCTAACGTCGAGTTATTAATAAAAAAAATATGCACTGTGAAAAATCCGGAGTGAATTTGTAATCTCTTCTCGCGCATGCGCAAGAGCAGAAGAACATCTGACGAGCCAGTTGGTTATATCTTCTATAAGAGCTTGTGTTTGAATACGATACGATCCCACCTGATAGTGTATTATGATATAGTCTTGTGTAGTAATACGCACTAGCTAAACTTGTATTTAACTTAAAAAAATAATTAATCTACAACGTCATTACAGCCGTATTCTTACTTCTTTGCCTTACAATCTTATTGCTAAATATCTGCTTCCTTTATGGAATACCACAAAATAGAGGAAGGAATCTAAAACAGAGAAGGAAATTGAAAGGAGTGATATGGGTGACAGCATTATCCTGTATAACAATCAAGATAAATATAACTGCAGTTGCCAACTTTCCTACCCAGCGTGTCAACTATGGCAAAGCCCAAAGAAAGAAAATTTAATTCTATTCAATTACATGTCGCGTACGTATAATTGAATGGAAAAGATGTTAAAGCATTAAATTGCTAAGATCCGCGGAATTAAATAAAATGATGTGTTATCTATTTTGAAGAGCACCTGCCCTTCAAAATAGATAACACATCGAGAGGGTCCCTTAGTTGCGTGCATGCACATAATTTTAATATATTACGCGGATCCGTAGCAAAGTGATTTCTAACATCTTTAATATAATCGATTTCCGCGAAATAACTCCTAATTACACTTAGGTATGTTTCTGGTGGTTGAATTTTTACAAACCAATAATATCTCAAAAAAAATTACTTACTGTACAATTTTTTTATCCCTAAGATCCTATTACTATATTTAAGTTCGATAAAGAAGCTTATATTGTATCAAATATAAATAGTTTAAGCATTTAATTTCAATAATATACTATGTGCATAAAATATAAGTTGGGAAAAACGAAAACTTCCATTAGGGGATAGTGTGGAAATAGGTGTCTTAAGAACAGGGATGCCAAATATAATATTTCTTTTTTATTGATCGAGCACAATATTTGTTCATTTCGTTTTTTTTTTTAATCAATTTTACGATAATAAAATTATTTTTAGTAAAATACATTAATAATGATTAACAGGGGCGACGCTGGGCGGCACGGGGGTTGTGGCGGGGGTCGGTGTGAGGGATGGCGTAGGGGTCACGGGGGGCGCGGGCGGCACTCTGTACCGCGTGCGCGCTACGTACCGTTACACGCGCGAAGACAGCGACGAGCTCTCCTTCGACGTCGGCGACATCATCCGCGTCGTTGAGTACGACGACCCCGACGAGCAGGTACACTGACCCACCCCACTACACACACTCTCACTGCACTACACGTGCGCGCCACGTACCGCTACACACGCGAGGACAGCGACGAGCTCTCTCCGTCGACGTCGGCGACACCATCCGCGTCGTTGAGTACGACGACCCCGACGAGCAGGTACACTGACCCACCCACACTACACACACCTGCACACACTCTCACTGCACTACACGTGCGCGCCACGTACCGCTACACACGCGAGGACAGCGACGAGCTCTCACCTTCGACGTCGGCGACATCATCCGCGTCGTTGAGTACGACGACCCCGACGAGCAGGTACGCTGCCCCACCCACACTACACACACTCTCACTGCACTACACGTGCGCGCCACGTACCGCTACACACGCGAGGACAGCGACGAGCTCTCTCCTTCGACGTCGGCGACACCATCCGCGTCGTTGAGTACGACGACCCCGACGAGCAGGTACACTGCCCCACCCACACTACACACACCTGCACACACTCTCACTGCACTACACGTGCGCGCCACGTACCGCTACACACGCGAGGACAGCGACGAGCTCTCCTTCGACGTCGGCGACATCATCCGCGTCGTTGAGTACGACGACCCCGACGAGCAGGTACACTGCCCCACCCACACTACCACACACTCTCACTGCACTACACGTGCGCGCCACGTACCGCTACACACGCGAGGACAGCGACGAGCTCTCTCCTTCGACGTCGGCGACACCATCCGCGTCGTTGAGTACGACGACCAGGTACACTGCCCCACCCACACTACACACACTCTCACTGCACTACACGTGCGCGCCACGTACCGCTACACGCGCGAGGATAGCAACGAGCTCTCCTTCGACATCGGCGAAGTCATCCGCGTCGTTGAGTACGACGACCCCGACGAGCAGGCACACTGCCCCACTCACACTACACACACTCTCACTGCACTACACGTGCGCGCCACGTACCGTTAAACGCGCGAGGACAGCGACGAGTCTCTCCTTCGACGTCGGCGACACCATCCGCGTCGTTGAGTACGACGACCCCGACGAGCAGGTACACTGCTCCACCCACACTACACACACTCTCACTGCACTACATGTGCGCGCCACGTACCGCTACACACGCGAGGACAGCGACGAGCTCTCACCTTCGACGTCGGCGACACCATCCGCGTCGTTGAGTACGACGACCCCGACGAGCAGGTACACTGCCTCACCCACACTACACACACTCTCACTGCACTACACGTGCGCGCCACGTACCGCTACACACGCGAGGACAGCGACGAGCTCTCTCCTTCGACGTCGGCGACACCATCCGCGTCGTTGAGTACGACGACCAGGTACACTGCCCCACCCACACTACACACACTCTCACTGCACTACACGTGCGCGCCACGTACCGCTACACGCGCGAGGATAGCAACGAGCTCTCTCCTTCGACATCGGCGAAGTCATCCGCGTCGTTGAGTACGACGACCCCGACGAGCAGGCACACTGCCCCACCCACACTACACACACTCTCACTGCACTATACGTGCGCGCCACGTACCGCTACACGCGCGAGGACAGCGACGAGCTCTCTCCTTCGACGTCGGCGACACCATCCGCGTCGTTGAGTACGACGACCCCGACGAGCAGGTACACTGCCCCACCCACACTACACACACTCTCACTGCACTACACGTGCGCGCCACGTACCGCTACACGCGCGAGGACAGCGACGAGCTCTCTCCTTCGACGTCGGCGAAGTCATCCGCGTCGTTGAGTACGACGACCCCGACGAGCAGGCACACTGCCCCACTCACACTACACACCTGCACACGCTCTCATTCCACTACCCAGTCCCACTCTCCACTCACACTATACTCACTCTCACTCACACTCCTCTCTACTCACTCCCACTCCTCTCTTCTTACTCTCACTCCTCTCTTCTCATTCTGACTCCCCTCTACTCGCTCCTCTCTACTCTTTCTAATTATGATCTTTTGGTGTGTCCATTAGTTAACGCGATCTCTTTTACTTTTTTTGCTTTGAATTTCGGTTTATCAACAATAAATTCCCCAAACCTCGTCATTCCAATATATTATAGTTTAAAAAATTATAAATGAGTATGTATAAGAGAGAGACAAATTTGATCTCACGTAATTATTGACATCATCATCAATACAAAAGACAACCGTACCTCCCCTCCCCCTCACCTTACTCACTCAACACATTGCATTAACATTTCACGTTCTGTTATATTTCCAGCAGCGTTAACCACTGAGCTACCACGGCTCCCTTAGCTTGTAAGATCTTACTTCAGACAGCTCAAACAGCTTATCCACTTTTACGGCTACATTTTAAATATTACGTACTTGCTTACCACTTATATTTCTTCATTATATTTCTTTATTATTACAATTAAAGAAATCGCGAATGAATCTAGTAGTTTCCCATTGAAATTCCGAAACGGAATTCCATATGTATGTGACCGGCCTAAAAAGCTTGGCGTGCTTAGCAGAGTGAGACAATATTTCATGCTGACACATCGCTTGCAACTTTGTAAGGTGCGGGTTCGGCCTCATATGGAATACTGTTCTCGTCTCTGGGGCGGGGCTCCCCAGCGCCAGCTTCTTTCACTTGACCACATCTAGCGCAGAACGGCTTGAATTGTCGACGACCGAGTTATTTCTGATCAGCTCGATTCGCTGGCGCTGTGTAGGGATGTAGAATTCCTTTGCATTTTCTACCTCATCTACCACGAGGAGAGCGCTGGGGAATTGTTCGGATTAATTCCAGCCTACAAATTTCAAGTACGCACATGCTTGGAGGTCCACCACTGTGCATTTTACTACGATTTTGTTTCCTCGTACAACTTCTCTGTGGAATTGCTTACCACCGGCGATTGTTCCGGACCGATACGACTTCGAGACCTTCAAGAAAAGAGCTTATTCCTTTCTAAAAGGACGGCAACGCACCTGCAATTCCCTTGGTGTTGCGGTTGCTCATGGGTAGCGGTTGTCACTTACCATCGGAATAGCCGCATGCGGAGAGCATGCGGCTATTCCTCTTCTATAAATAATTTTATAAAAATATCCTTCCTTCTAAAAAAAATCTACAATAAATAAGTCGTGGAAGTGACAGCAAAAGTATTTTTTCTCTTTTCAGTAAACTTTTTTATACTGTTTTTTTTTTAAATTACGGTTTTTACCTTTAAGGTTGTTATCGGCTTTCTCGGCAAACTCACACTGGAAACACATAGTTAACATTAAAAAAACTGTTGATAATTTTATTTTTATGTAAATCATTCTAGGAGGAAGGTTGGCTGATGGGTATAAAGGAGTCCACCAACGAAAAGGGTATGTTCCCTGCGAATTTTACGCGGCCGATATGAGCGGTCACAAGTAACTCGCTGCTAAATTCGCTGCACAACTTATAGCATTATAGCAGTGGACATTCTATGAGACGAGTTTCTCAGTGTACATGAAAATGAATCGGAAACTCGAGTAACGTACGGGGTGACGATCAACGCGAAGTGTTTTGTGTTTTATTTTTAATTTTTAATTAAATATATGTATTTATTACGATTATTTTTGTTTTGAAATGATGTTATATTGTAATAACATGAGTAATCACATCACACTTCGTTTATTGTTTATATATTTTAGTCTTTAGTTGTTGAGCGTTATTAGAGATCTATTTATATTTATTATGTGTTGTATTACAACGAATTAATTATCGACTTACCTGTTTACTTTATTTTACATTTGCCTTTTTAACGGTTTGTAACAGTTTTGTAAATAGAAATATTTTTAGAAACACATTTTAGTCACTATGAATATGGTGTAGGGTTAAATGGAATTTTATTGGAATTGCCTATGTAAAAAAAATTTTCTTATATAAGCAAATTATCGCATTTGAAAGTTTTTTTTAAATATATAAGAACTCATTTTTTTAATTATTACCCACATGTGTATTTTATTTAATAACATTTTGACTATAATAAGGATGTTCGTGTATAAATGGATATAAAAAGAAAAAGAAAAATTTTGCTCATTGTTTACCTTAAATAAATAATGTAAATGGGAAGTGACCTTATATGTATTTAATATTTAAATATATTTACGAACAATTCTTGGATTATTTTATAATATAGACATGGATTAATATCACTTGCAGTATTAGTTACGAAATTCAGTAATTTATTGTTTATTCACGTCATGTACGTTCAATCATTACTATTATTACTGTACTCTTAAACACTAGCAAATAAAGACTAAATTACTCGACTATGACAAAACCAAAGTAGAGGTTATGACTCTATTTTTGAATTAATAAGTTAGCAATATCATTTATAATGGGTATCATATTTGAAGCATTTTAATGTTACAATGAATTCGATATAGAAACTGGTAAAAATTTGTAATTATTGTTTTTCGGCTTTTTAATCAAAACCTTGTTTTTCTTATATTTTTTGCTACATTTTTGGATGTTATTGCGTTAACTCTAAATTATTTTTGTTGGTAAAATTTAAATTTTTTTTGCTGCGTATGAAGCGAAAATAGTAAATCAACACCAAAATAACGATTATTTGATATATTTGGTGTTTATTTACTAATTTTGTGAGTAATGTTAGATAAGGACGATATTCAATTATAAATCTTATTAATTCCCGATTTCGCCAGTGTTTTCCAGCATTCATAGTCACGGTAGGCCCATGTTGTGTTATAACCATAAATTGATTTTCTTATTTCACTAGATTTTTCCTACCATTTTTATTTTTCTTGTTTCGAAATACTCTTAGTAATTGAGTGTTTATATCATCATATCATGTTTCCACCTAACAAACCAAAGACTTATGTTTTTTTTCTTATTCCTTCTCTTTTATTATTGACTTACTCTTTTACTTGAATACTTAGTTTATATTTCCAACAATATTGCTATGTTTACATTTTTTAATTTTTTCAAATAGTTATTAACTTATTGATTGGCGAGCTTATTACAGATATTGCTAGTGTTTAAGATGATACAAATTAAAAATACAATAACATATCAAAATATACAAACCCAATACCATAATAATCTTTATTTTGTTGTATATAAAATTGATATAAATTTATTTTGTTGATCTAATTGTTAATAAAAATAACATTATAATTCGAATATGAACTTGCGGTGTAAACATTTTGTTCAACTATAGATGAAAATAAAAATTATTTTTAACCTCTATAGTGAGCTGATACTAACTATAAATTACAATAGGAACACTTTCGTCAACTATTTAAATCTTCTAGATCATTCTCGAATTTCACATGAAAACGTTATTTTTTAAAGATGCAAACCACCTGAAATTGCTAAATAACAGAGCTATAAAGCAACGCTATTTTTATTTCAAATTCGATTTACATTAATTGGAAGGCAAAAAGACTTGCAATTAATGAGGCTGATAAAGTTGTATTTTGTTGCTTTATTATGACTTACAATTTTAATTAAAGAATATATTGACTTATTTAGTAACGAGGGTGTAATGCACCGAAAAAGAAATATTAGAATGCCAGAATCAAAAACGGTGCTTTCGATTTTGCACATAATCTTCAACATTCAACCACATTAGCCGTAAGAAAAGATCAATATTGTTTCTTATCATCCTATCCAATGTTTTTGATTTTTAAGGAACATCAATAAAAATCGTGTGTTTTACGAAGTTTTAACCCATTATGCCTTAGACTACTTTTGCAAATAATTTTTGAAACATTTTAATAGCAGAATTTACATTTACTTATCTACGCATCAAGAACGAATTGATCGATATTTTATTTAAGCAGTAATTCATGTTATATGACTTGTGGTCTAAGAGTACAGTGGGATTAGTGAAAAGTTGTGGCTTATGTCGACAGTGCCATGCGAAGGTCCATAATAGATGTTAATTTGTAAGTTTGTTAGGATTTGTACAGTATTTACAACTGCGAATAAAATGTTTCACACAAATGTGTTTTTTTATTTATTTCAATCTTCTATAGAAATTTCATTATTTTCATTATCTGTTCCCATGACGATTCTAGTACTCCTTCAATATCAATGAATATTAAAAGGAATGCGACAAGAGTACTTAGTTATGAATAAGTAGAAGAAACTTGATCTAGTTAAAATGTAGAACTGGTTCTTTATAGAGTAAGGATTACAAACGAGCACACAGTCCATCTGATGGCAAGTGGACTCTCTGACCCATAGACGTCTACATTGATCCTGAATTAAGAATCAAAATGCAGATGCATTGTCACCCTTGAGCACCAATATGGAATGCCTCGTTTCCAGTAAAAGGTTCTCTAGTTCTCTACACTCACCATACGAAACAACAGCTTTAGGCTGCTATATTACATTAGTATTCAGTGAGAGCGTGGTTCTACCTTGGTCGAGCCGACCCATTCGTTCCACAACCATAATATAGCATAGCTCTACTACGTATACACTTACTTCTTATTTGCAATAAGTATTTACTTTGGCTACTTTTTTTTCTACGTGGGGTAATCAGGGTAGTGCCCCACGGTGTACATCTCTTCCCTTTGCCAGGGACCAGAAAGGTTTCGCATACCATTGCAGCTCTGACGGCGTTAGGCCATACAGGTGAAACAAGCGGAGCGGAAACACTGTACGCGTTTATTAACGCCTCAGCTACGGGGGTAGAGCGGAGTTTGATATACTCTTCTTCTGCTGCGATATCTGCCGACCCCTCCCTTTATCTATAATGAGGAAGAGGGAATAGAAAGCGCGATATCAGCTGCTCGCAGCATCGAACCATAGCCCTAATTAAGACTGGAACCGGGAGGTCTTCACATAGTACAGCTAGGACACAACGCATCTAAGCCCATACTGTATGCTACACAGCAATCTCGTTACTGTCATAGTGGTTGTTTCGGTTCTCGGGTCACGGCTATACAGCACCGGTAACCAAGCACCCATTCCCAGAAAGCATCTGTACGAGCCGGGAAGTAAATGAACCCTGTCGACTGTTTATCCAGTCCGGGAGGACCGAACGAACAGCCCCGACAGTAAAAATGGGGTGATTTTGTGTGTTAAATGTCTGCACATGTGAACTACTAGTGGAAAATATGAAACAAGTGCTCCGATGGTGATACTATAAGCTTTTATCCGCTTGGGTGAATGTGACGTTTTGGTTTCTGATGATGTTAATGCTGTTAGCCTTTTTCTTTTACGGCTTAATAGGTCTGAGGGCTGAGAATGTGATGCATCAGCATATTATTGTAAAGTATTTAGTGAATTAAATAAACATCAGACAAGACTGTATAGGGTAAGACTTTTGCCTACCTGAATTGGCGAATCGTTTCTTTTTAAATTTAACTGGGTTTACCGCTCTGGGTTCTAGCTCTTCTGAGCCTTTTCTTTCGGAATCTTCGCTTCACAATATGCTGATGCATCACATTGCGAAGTTTTTGGGGGATTTTGACGACAGCTCAAGCCAGCGGACATTTGATGACGACAGTCATTCAAGTTCATAAGGCACCCAAGCGATCAAAATAACTCGAGGCTTATATCAACACCAAAGCACTTGTTTCGTCGTTTTCTCTGATAGTTCACACCACAGAACACTATTACTCCTATCGTAGAAGAACGACAACTTCATACAAAATTTAAGAAATGCTATATATGTAACCACTAGCTCCATCTATCGTCAGCCTCCTGCACTTCTCCTGTGGCGGGAAATTTAAACGTGGTCTTTTTTGGTTTTTTTATTTGAGGCATTTTTGGGTTGTCTATCCCAGCGCTAAATAAAAGAACAAAAATTACAAAATTTCTATTTATTTATTCAAAATAAAAATAAAAAAAGATACATAACTTAAGACAAAATTTCTCCAGCAGCTTAGTTCTTTCTATAAAGACATTTGATGGGTTTAAACATGAAAAGAAAATCAATATTGATTAATACATTTCAATTACTTAAGTAAACAATATATATAAGATTTACAATCGTGGATGAATTGATAATATGCACAATCACAAATCACAGAATGTCTACAATAACCCGAATATCAATATTTTAATCAAAAACGAGTTAATTAATAAATAAGCTCCTACACACAAGTGCAAAATTCACAAATAATAATTTTGTTTTGATAATATTTGGTTATCCTATAAAAAAAATACTCCATCTATTTTTTTTATAGGATAGGGTGACAAACGAGCACACAGTCCACCTGATAGTAAGTGGTTGTTGTGGCCCATAGACATCCACATCTATCCTCGATTACGAATCAAAATGCAGATGCGTTGTCACCCGTGAGGACCAAGATGGAATGCCTCGTTTTCAGTAAAAAGGGTCTCCGGTTCTCTACACTCACCATACGAAATACAGCAGCATTAAGCTACTATTTCACACTGGTATTCTGTGAGAGCGTGGTCCTTCCCTGGTCGAGCTGACCCATTCGTACTACAACTATACTTCTAATATAACTGCAGCATGGCTCTACCACGTATAAAATTTCCCTGAATTGACATTAAAAATTTTGTCTCTATATTATATGCAATATATTAAGTGTTGAATGATCTTATAAATAGAATAATTTTAATTCAAAATTATAAAACATATTAAATATTAGATTACAAAAACATTCCTTATATAATTTTAAAAATTTTCATATAGAGTACTTTCTTTTTCAGGTTCAACGTTATCTGTTATGCTTTGATGTTTGTGGTTGTTCTTGTGTGGTTCTTGTGTGGAAATAAATTATAGTATAATAAACATACTATATAAAATTAAATTAACATTATATTCACTGACATTACTTTCATAGTAAACCAGTCCCTGCTCATGGCACTACATACATTACCCTTCTACCAATACAAAATAAATGAATGGATCTTGTTCATCCAACTTGCTCTATAATACACCCAATTTTCAACATTGAAAATCAAAACAAAAAAGAAAACATTTATTTTTCTTTTTACTGTCAAGGATATGCTAACATAATAATGTAGAAAAATACGACAGGCATAGTTATCTTCCTATGGATTATTATTTCTATATTCAAAATTTTTGAGTGTAATTTATCTTTAGAAAAATCTTACTAATTATAAAACAAGACATTTAACAAATGGCAATAATAAAATTCAGCCCGCGTAGGTATTTCATTCTGTCCATACAGAGTTGACCGGGCCTGGTTCACACGAACAGACACTTAATTCACAAAATCGCATCACTTTTACGAATCAAAATCCACTTCAAACCATTATTCAAGCGACAAAACAGAAGCGACAAACCATCGACGGCCAAGTTCCCGCCGAAACTCCTAGCGAATAGAAATCCAAGAGTACGTTCTAGGGTATGTTCCGAAATACAACGCAGTGTACTGTCCAATGCAAATGACGTCATCATTTGACACTATGGGTATGTTCCGAAATACAACGCAGTGTACTGTTCAATGCAAATGACGTATCATTTGACACTTTATTGTACTAGCGTGCCGCCGCCATATTGTGTCGGATATCCGGCCATAATAAAACAATTTTTAATTGTGTGTTTGCCGAATGAAGCATGCCAGAATTTGTTTCTATTTATTCAAATACAAAAAATTATAGAATAATTGATGGTATATCCATTAGGAGGATATAACGATTTTTGGAGCACAAAATGACAAAATAATCGCCAACACTTTTCCAAATGGCGCAAAAGTATGACGTCACATACTGTCCAATGTTTTGGAACAAATCACCAGTATAACGTCGATTCATGACGTCATTTGCATTGGACAGTACACTGCGTTGTATTTCGGAACATACCCTATATAGTACTGGCGTGCCGCCGCCATATTGCGTCGGATATCCGGCCACAATACAACAATTTTTAATTGTGTGTTTGCCGAATGAAGCACGCCAGAATTTGTTTCTATTTGTTCAAATATAAAAAATTATAGAATAATTGATGGTATATCCATTAGGAGGATATAATGATTTTTGGAGCACAAAATGACAAAATAATTGCCAACACTTTTCCAAATGGCGCAAAAGTATGACGTCATATACTGTCCAATGTTTTGGAACGAATCACCAGGATAGCGTCGATTCATGACGTCATTTGCATTGGACTGTACACTGCGTTGTATTTCGGAACATACCCCTTATCTACTCTTTTGACTTGCTGTCACCTGTCATACTGAAAATTTCCTTTTCTTGCTTTTTGTTTTGGTGTTCTAAAGAAAACATAGCTTGCGAATACTGAAAACAGTCAGTTAATCCAATTTCTAAGTGAAAGTGATATTTTAATATGATATGCTTTATTTCTCGATCCTTTTTCGAATCTATTTATGATAATATTTATGATTAAATTACATCTTTTAGTGCCTGAATCTTCATCAAAATTTTCGACATTGTAATTTTATAAATTGTTAGAAATATTGTACGTAAATGTTTTATTATACGTTACATTAAACATATTTTACCGTTCACTATTTACCTACGGGTAATTATCCTGTTAAGCCGGTGAAGCACTAAGGTAAGATTTATTTCCTTTTTCGTCTTGGTTACATATATACATAATGTGGGTGCTGTGAGCCATAAAGGATAACAGCACCGGCGTCACAAAAAATGAAAAATATTCATTAAATCTGTAAAAAGTATTTCTCAATAAGTATTAAAAGCAAATATGTAAACTACTTACAAAACTTGATATAGCTTAATAAACTATAGTAAAAAATTCATACATATATATAATAAATAAAAATAAAATTTATCTTTATATAAAAATGGTTTTTTAATAAAAATATTAGTTTTTACATAATTTAAGTTTTTTATTAACTCTTATTTTTATTCATCAGGTTGTGCAAAGTAATTTTCAATATGGATCTGCAAGAAATCTTTATAGTAGTAAGTTAATTTTTATTTGTTTTAGTTATGGTTTGTTTAATTTAAAATTATAGAAAGTTTTCATCATAATGATATGGAGAAAAAAAATTAATAATTGTAAGCTATTCAATGGTATACCTGAGCCAGCTCAAGGGCTTAAACCACATGGCACTAATTAAATTTGCAATTGTAATTTTAAGTGTTAATTTAGCACAAGCTCAGTAGTGATGGAAAACACTGTGTGAAAACCTATGTCTCTGATATATTGTTTCAATGATGTGAGAAATTGACAAACTGAAGCAGTAAGGCAGACCTATAACCTTCTCAGAAATGAGAAGCCTGTACTCAGCATTGGGGCATTTAAAGGCTAAATCCCAGTTTTTTACTTCTACCCTATTTACAAATTTATTGATTTAAATAAGCTTGGATTGGAAATAAAGATAAAGTTTTTTTTTTCAAAAGTTGCTTCTAAGTTTAAATATTATAAAAATGAATACCTACCCAATAAATTTTTAAATGTTAATTATATTTTGTTTCATCACCTTAATTGACTAGAATATAGTTAAATCCATCTAGGGACTTTTTAACACCTCCAAGCCTAAGTATGTGTTTTATTTTTGCAGATGTATATCTTGATGTTACATTCTTTGTTTTTTATAATAATTATTCATTTATTTGTCCTTTATTGCAAACATCTTCAACTTTGGGTTACAAAAGGGGGACTGACTGTGCCAATGGAACTAACAATGCACCTGATATTATGTGGACCTTGTATATTATATACACCGGCAAGCTAAAACAAATAAACTAGGTTACTTTGATGTGATTCAGAGGACTACGATCAAATGCCTCACAGCTGACAACTCTGCAGACTAGCCGGTGCCCCAATAGTCTCCACAGACAGACTGCTAGGTAGAAATTTTTTTTGCCACCTAGTATTTGTGCATGAGTCTATTAAAATACCTCCATCATACAATAAAAATTCCTAAATTAGAAATTTCTCTAATTTACTAATGACTACTTATAACAGAACATTAATAAGACCTTGCATGTGTTTTATGTGCTTTGTAGCGGCGGCGTAAATAGAGTAATTGCTATTTGAAAATTTTTAAATTTATCATTTGCTCGGGGGAGAAGGAAAATATGTGGTGAAAAATGCTTACTAGGATAAAATATTTCGAGAACATGTGAAGTACGCCAATACACACTGGAGCCACACTACAGGCAAATTGCTCTCCCTCCCAAAAACGAGACGATAGTGCCTTGTAGTGGAATTTTATAGGCTCGTATTTACTTTTTTATTTTAAGCGAAATAAAGGTTGAATTTTCACATTTCTTTTTTGAGAAGCCATGAAGTAGAACCTTCTGGAAGTATACTGCTGAAAACGAACATGTTTATAATATTTTTTATATAATAAGGGTGACAAAAAAGCACACAGTCCACCTGATGGTAAGTGGATACTTTGGTCCATGGACATCTACATTAATACTCAATTTGAAAATCAAAATGCAGATGTGTTGCCACCCCTAAGGATTAACATGGAATGCCTCGTTTCCAGTAAAAAGGGTTTCCGGTTCTACACCCGCCATACAAAACAGAAGCATTAAACTGCTATTTTACGTGGGTATTCTTCGTGAGTGTGTTTGTACTCCAGTCGAGTCAACCCATTTATACTACAACCATCACATAGTTGTAGTGTTGCTCTACTACATAAAAAGATCATATAAAGATCTTACTAATGGGTCATGAAGAGCGATCAACTCTGCATTTTGACACTTATTGTTTTTAGTATAAGATCACTCTTATATTACGCACTAAACCACAAAACTTTCTAGGGGCTTAGAATTATTTTCTGCTTTGGTGTCCCTCTGGCTAGGTTCCTCCATTTTACCCATTTCTGCCACCAAATTGTAGTGCTTTTTCTCGTATAATTCGGTCTGAAAGTTATCATAGAGGAGGCTGCGAGGCGTTTCATCTTAGTTCTCAGGGAGTGACAATGTATCTGTAGCTTTCTTTACATGAAGTTGGCTGCCACTTAGCATCAGGTGGACTGTAAGTTCGTTAAGTTCAGCTTTATAAAACAATAAAGCTATTTTTATTGCGGCTGATAGAATATGAGTGCCCCATTTTGCGACTTGTAGTTATTTCTACATAATATATCTGGTTGCTGCTACGAAGCATTCTGTAGGCTGACACATAATACGACTACAACACTAAAGAACTAACGTAGATCTAATATACGGAACTAAAATATAGTAATGGTAATTCCACCAAAAATATCATTTGCAGAATAATAATAATATTAATAATGTCCTCCAGACCGAATTTCGGTCACGGCGGCCTGCCTCAACGGTGACTAGCCATCGGCGCAGGACAGGATTATAGTGCCCAAGTGTATGCACAAGCACAGGTGCACTCTCTATTCCCTCACTCTCATAATCCGATGGGACGGTAAACCGACACGACCGGAGAGAGATCAGGCGCAGGACCAACGGCTTTACGTGCTTTCTGAGGCACGGGGGTGAGACACCGCCAACTTCCTGACTCCCGGCAGCTACTGAGAATTTCTTGACAGAAAAAATCAATAATTGATTTTTTTGGCCAGACCCGGGATTCGAACCCAGGACCTCACGATCAGCAGTCGCACTGCTACAACCATTAGACCGAGAGTACAACTCATACTCCCGTGGCTACTTACATAGAACTGACATATTAAAAAATGGAGCCATTTAAAAGGATTTATGCCATTATTTTTATTGTTTACTCCTAAAATACTTGCACTTTTGCCTTTTAAACACTATTATGTCTAAAATATTAGTTGGAGAATTTTTTTTTAATAGATCTGAATATGTATACATGTAGGTAAGTATTTTACGTGGTAGAGCCACGCTGCAGCTATATCATAGTTGTAACACGAATAGGTCGGTTCAACCGGAGCAGGACCACGCTGTCACAGAATACCAGCCTCAAAATAGCACCGTAACGCTGCTGTGTTTCGTATGGTGAGTGTAGAGTACCGGAGACCCTTTTCACTGGAATAGAGGCATACCATCATAGTCCTCAGGGGTGACAATGCATTTTGATTCTTATTTGAGGATAAATGTGGATGTCTATGGGCCACAGCATCCATTTACCATCAGGTGGACTGTGTGCTCGTTTGTCACTCAGTGCTATAAAACGTAGTCACTCAGAAAAATAAAGATTTTTTTCCTTCCCACTTCCCTTCAGTTGCGCAGTAAGAGGTGCGGACGGTGTTGCCAGTCGTAATACCGTTGCTAACTATTATTATGTGTGTGGGTGGTTTGGCAAAAAAATCAGTCCTGTATTGGAGGAGGTAACAAGGGAAAACAGTATGGTTAATTATGTCAAAATTTCATCTGTATTATCCGACTGCCTTTGTATCTCTTGGTTGTATAGCTTGGTCGTTCGGCATAGCGCGACGACTGTCGAAAATTTCACAGTACAATGAAGCAACCTTTGTCCAATCCCCACCGGCATAATATAATATAATAATATAATTGTTGATAGCGATTTTCAGTGCAGATTTACCAGCTGTAATATGGTTGCAGCAAGAACGACTCGGCTCGATCGGGTAGTTACCAAGCTCTCACAGAATACCAGCACTAAAACAGCAGCACTACTGTTGTGTTTCGTATGGTTATTTTAGAGAACCGGAGACCCTTTTTACCTTTTTTGCATCATAGTCCTCAGGGTTGACAACCAAAAATGCAGGTCATTATGATTCTTAATCGAAGAGAGACGTACATATCTGTGGCATCCACTTACCACCAGGTGGGCAGTGTCTTCATTTGTCACTACTATTCTATATAACAAGTAGTAAAGTTAAAAAATTTGTACAACCGACTTCAATATAAATAAAATGAGAACATCAATGTAGTCGAAGTCAATTAAATACACATTATTAAGGATAACTCAAACACTACTAGTCAGATCTTAATCAAAATTATATGGGACTACATGATAGACAGCAGCTTTAAAATAAAAAAAAATATCAAACTCGATTCACCTAGAAAAAAAGTTCTGAGGTAACACACAAAATAAAATCAGTCGAATTAAGTACCTCCTCCTTTTTTGAAGTCGGTTAAAAACATTAAAGAGCTTAGAAATGAGAGGAGGCCTGTGTGGAACAACCGTGGGACGTAAATAGGCTGTAACTGACCTTTTTTTATACTTTCTTTTTTATAAACAATTTATACCACAAAGTGCACGAAGTTATGTGTAAGTAAATGCATAAGTCTAATGTTTAAATTAGAAATATATGCCTGAATCCTCTTTCTTAAGTTGAACAAAATACAAACCACAAACCAACTAAAGATATTATAATGCACGTTTAGTGCCCTGGACCTTGAACGAATTAACCACATTCGTTCAAGCCCTGAACCTTGAACGAATTAACCATTCGTTCAAGCCCTGAACCTTTTGTTATGCAATGGGAGTGACAAACGGGTACACAGTTCACCTGGTACTGTGGCCCATAGACGACTTCATTTATCCTCGATTAAGAATCAATATACAGATGCGTTGTCAGCCCTGAGGACTAAGATGGAATGCCTTGTTTCCAGTAAAAGGTTCTCCGGCTCTCTACACTCACTATACGAAAAAGCAGCCTTAAGCTGGTATTTTGTGAGAGCGTTGTCGAGTCGATCCATTCGTGCTTAAAGTTACAGCTTGACTACCACGTAAAAACGTGAAACGTCTACTGAAGTAATTTGCTAAATGAAATAAATATAAACCACGTTAGTCCGCCACCAGCGTTGATCGTTGCGGTTAAATAAATTTCATTTTCCACTCTAAGACCAACCGACTTCTAGCCAGGTGAACGCTCTAACTGATAACTGAATAACTGACCGTCACATCTATTATCTTATGGTAAAGCGACTGTAACTTGGGGGATGGATCAATCGAAGAATAGACGATAGGAAAACTACTAAACTTATCGATTTTATTTCTAATAAGGTTTGGTTAGAAGCGGATTTCATTATGAAAAAATATTCCCAATGACTAACGA